GGTTAATTGGGGGGGGGGGGGGTCAATTGTCATTGTATTTAGCAATATTCTATTTTATGTAATATACATGTCCTTTGTATTAAAAAAGCAAAATTAATTTGTTTTCCTTAAAAAGCAAAAAAAAAACCAAAAAAAAAACGGGGTGAATCTCTGTAGGTGCAAGTGAGGCCAAGTAGGGAGACAAGGGGGGAGCCCTGGGGGAGAGGCCCAGGGGGGTAGAAGAGTGTGAAAACCTACCCTGGAAACGTCTGCTCTTTCATGTTTTCTTAGTCCCCTGACTTGAAGGTGCAGACCCCGTGGATGGATGTGGTCCCGCCCCAAGGGGTGGAGGGGGGTGGTAGGAAGAGCCAGTCTGTCCAGCAGGCTTTTGGGGGAGGGGGGGCACTGCAACCTGGAGGAGTGGGGACGCTCCATCACACTCACTAGGGCTGGACAAATGGGGGAAGTCAAACAGGTCTGCCGGGCCCTAGGCTCCTAGTCCCCTTGGGAACTCCTCCTACGCCTCCTTCCACAGAAGCCCCTCCTCGGGAAGCCCCAAGCCTCACCCTCCTGGAGTCTGCCTCCCTGGGCCGGCCAGGATGGGTCCCGGAAACGCTTGGCTGGGCTGAGACTGAGTGACACGTGGATACCGACTCAAGAAAATACACCTCTACAGCCAGGGGCCATCGCCCCATTAACACACCCTCACAGTGGGGGAGGGGGGGGGAACAGCCCCACTGCTGGCCGGGTGAGCGTCCACAGCCTGCGGGCGTGGGCCCTAGAGGACTGGAAGCCTGCGACTCCTAGCATCCAGGCGGGCGCGTCCCCTACTCAGCTGCACCCCTTCCGCGCCCTGCAGGGGAGCTCCCAAGCCTCCCACTAGCCCACCCTCACGCTGGGATTTCTCACGCACGACTGGTTGGGACGGGGCAAGAGGTCTTTGCTCACAGATTCATTCAAAACCAGCTCCGCCTTCTCACCTGCGGCCTCTCGAAAGCCCCTAGCTGGGACAGGGAACCCGGGGGGCCAAGGTCGGTACCCCTTTTCCTGCCTCCCACGTAAACAGCCCAATAGGCCACCGCTACCCCCGGGCCGGGCAGCCGCGGATGACAACCTCCCCGCTTCCACGATCCCGAGCCAGGATCCACCTCTGCTCCCGCCAGCACCGCGAAGCCCACCCACCCTCTGCACTAACCTGGCCCCCAGGCCCGGCCTGGCTTCCCACGCCAGCTCCACTGGGTTCGCGCTGCTTCCGGGTGTGCGCC